AAAGCTGGTTGAGGTCTTGAACATGCAACACATCGCTCAATTCTGCTTTACTTAACCACCAGCTGGCCAACTTGCTGGTTTTGACCTGTTCTGTAGTGATTGCTGGTATCAAAAACTCTAACTCACTGCTTCCACTTCGTTACTCTGAACTATAGCCCTTGGACCACCCTGCTCTAAAGTGTTCAAAAGTCGTGGAAAATTATTTTATATTGTTGGAAAAAGCATTTTCCACATCCTTCATTAAGCTTAAATATCTGGACTTGTTTTGTGTTGTAAAATTAGAAAACGTAAACTGTAGGTTTGTAGCGGATCGGTTAGTTACGAAACCGCTACAATTCAAGAACTTAGAATGGGGATTAAAATACGAATTTGCCGAGGATAGTGTTTTAAGTGTATTTTGTAAAGTATGGAAGTTGCACCTGTAGAATGAACAAACGGCTATAATACCAATGGCATAATACAAATCGAGATGAATAAATGAAGTACATTATATAAGCAAATATTACAAATTAGATCAATATAACAGGAGCTATTTAATGTCTTACCCCAAACATTGGCGGATCAGGCTGTTATGATCCTATGGATAACTGAATCTACGAAGAAACAAGATTTTAATCTATAAGTAGCTCGGATGGTTTGCGGAAAAGACAAATATTCTAGAAAACTAATAAAACTGATAACAGATAAATAGTGTCCCTACAGGTTGTTGGGAGGATAGTCGATCGGAGAGTCAGTTGGAAGAGACGCGTGGTGCCGAATGCAGAGATTACTATAGCATCCTGATACGCTAGCCTTTTACGTGTCCAGTGTCCGAACTATTTAATCAATAAGCTATAGTCCTAAATGAACTTCTGTTATACCGATTTGTGATTAATTGTGTTAACCTACTTCTTGAATAAAGTTATTGAACTTAAACGTCTACAAGTCCCTTTTTAAATTCGTGGTTAATTATAGAATCAACAGTGAAACAACGCAATGTACTAAAGAACGATCACTATAGGCCTATATGCGGTGCCTCAGCTGATGCGGCAGGTGACAGGCCCGACAATATTGTGTACGGAAAGACAGTTTACAAATTTTGATGAATGCTTTTGGTCCAACCGTGTGTACGTCGTCTGATTGCCTTGCACCAAAAGAGCCATCAGATAACCTTCCAATGTGAGTGTTCGTGACGTGATTTGTTGCAGAAATTTTCAACGTTTTCTCTACCATGAGCTCTTTAGCCTCTTAGAAAGTTTTCAGGGTCTTCCTCCCATTACCTCCAATTAATATTCTAGGGAGCGAGAGAGGCCTACTCTCAATTGCTAGCAGAGGGACAACTTTTCAGAGGCTCCCGCTTGTCTGCGAACTTTTTTTACCAGCGTGTGAGAAAAGTGTTCCTGGAATAGGAGAGTGCAGGGTGAATAGTTGAGAAGTACTATTCATAAAAGTTTGAGATCGGAAAGCTCGTAGAAAATCTTGAAATAGTAGTATGAAAGTACTAATGCATTTATTATGCATCTTGCCAAGTACACTAAATTTATAACTCAATCAGCGTATCGATAATTAATACTAATATTCCAAAATTCATGCAGATCCGTTAAGTATTGAAGGAATTATGAGTGTCCTAGTTGTGCGAGTCCGCTGGCGAGTTCGCAGGCGGGTCCGTAGAATTGTCGATTGAGTAAATTTATAGAGTATTTGCATTTTCATTAGCAGGATCGCAATTTTTTTAGTACTAATTCAGAAAAACTATCGGAATTGGAATTGGAATTGGGGTGCGTGGTGACCTACGGTCACGACCTTTAAATCGGTCATACACGCTGCCTAAAAAACTTTTACTAGCATAAAAAAAAATTAAAAGTTCACACTCTTATGTTAACAAAAAAGTTCAAATATACCATATTCACAGCTGTCCTAAGAAAAAATATACAAATTTGACAATCGCAAAAAATTAAAACCACGTACTAAAACAATTCGGCACGTTCACACGTCTTCCCACCCTCCCCTCTCTCAACCCTCCATTCCTCAAGACCCAACTTACAACATCCTCCTCCTCTCCCTCATCATCCACACGTTTTCCAAATATCTCTTCACACTCTCAAACATAGCCGCAGTTGCTCCCTCAGACAGACCCGTAATTATCGCCATCCACTCTTCGCTTGTTCTCTCATGCCCCACCTCGTTAGTCTCACCTCTCTCATTCATCCTTTCCCTCCACTCCTTGCTTCCATACCTTCAGCCCATAGTCTTTCACTCGCTCATTTATTTCTCTTTTCCACTCTTTTTCATCCCACTCTATCCCAATTGCACCCCGTACTGTCACCACCCATTCGTCCTTTTATCAATTTAGATAAGTTGTGATAGAAAGATTTTTATGAAAACTCGTTCAAGCTCTTCAGATTCATTTTAATGGGTGAAACGGAAATTTCTTTGAACCAACCTGACAAAAATCGCATGTGAGCCCGTATTAACAGTGCACTTACTCAAGGAAATGAATGAGTCTTTTCTAGATAGCGATCGATGCATCTTGCGCTTGCGTGGGTCATTCTGACTCAGTTTGGTTGGCCTGGTTGAAGGACAGATCAATGCAACATTTGCTGTGCTGTGGGTATGGAAGTGCGTCGCTTTTTGGACAATATGACCTATTCATTTTTCTGAATGTGAGCGTAGATTATCCGTTATTTTCTGTCAAAAGTTTTGCCACGAGCGTCGCCAGTGCTGCCGATTAGGCCGTTTTAGCTCCAAGACGAAACTTGATGGGTGTCAGAAGTTTACATGATCTACAATTTAGATCATGTAAACTTCGGACAGCCATCGTGTAGATTCTACATTATTTTGAACGCGATACATCGTCTGCGTGAAATAACCATAAGAATAATTCTCCTGTATCGGCCGTTTGAATGGTTGCCTTAGTTCTTGGTTTAGCGTTCTGGGTTATTCAGTAATTTTGTGTTTATTCAAATGTTATAAAATGCAACTATTTTCAAATTTGTATCTGAGCAAACATTGCTAACAACATGACAGCTGTAGACGCTGCAGAGAATAATGTATGATATAACCTTACGATACGGCATTGAATGAACGATATTGATCTTGAGTAATTTAGAGCTGAATATCTGTGTTATTTTGCCAAAGTAAGTCCGCGTTTCAAGCGGCTAAAACTGTAAATGAAGAATATTTGGATGAATATATTTTTAATAACAGACATTCCAACTCATCTTAGATCCCCACACCTGCATGACCTCAAAAAACTTAGCCCCACAACTGACCTGTAAACTTACCCCACATCTGGCCTGCCTACATAGTCGAACTCCACACCTGAAAATTTACTCGCCCTAAAGCCACTGACGCTGTACTATCAACAATAATTGAGAGTTCATAACTTCGTCAGCCAATTACTGACGGCTTTTCGAGCTAACCCCACGAATCACAGACGAGAAATCTGCCGCTAAGTGCACGAAATCTGCCACTAAGTGCTATAGGCAGCAACGTTTATATTAGCGAATTTCTTCAACAGCGGCCCAAGGGAAGTGATACTATCTTGCAGTTTTATTAATTGATCAATCTCTTGAGGTCTTCCATAGTAAAGATCAACAAAATTTACCTATATCCAGTGTTTTTTCTTTTTGGTTTATGCACTATAATTTTCATGAAAATTCTCTGCATGAAGTTACAAGGTTAAATATTGCATTGTACTTCAAATATGCCGAGTTGTTCACGAGTAGGCTCTGATGAAAGTTATCCCTAATTATGGCTCATACTTGACAGATATATAACAATTTAGTTAGTTACTTTTCGATACTTTCAGTTGTGTACAAAAATCTGGTGGAATTCAATTTAAATTTATTAGTCATAATAATCCTCTTCTGTGGACGGTCTCAAGCCGAAGCTGAAAAAGAATCTCTGTGACAAAAATGTTCAGATCACGGTGATTAATTCAACCATGGCTCAGATGTTGGAAAAAAATGTTCAGATTTTCCTACACCACTCTAACCGCTCGGTGCTCCCGCTTCACCGGTGTTTTGCCTAGGACTGGAGTCAGAGGTGAGGCTTGATTCTTGGCCACAACCATGCTTACCTCGCTCCTAGCCAATTTATTAAAACTGGATGATCCTTTGGGACTGGACCGTTGATAAATTGTGGATTCCACAGATTTATTGTTGATCACTGATTTTTATAACTACTTTATTTAACCAATTTCCTCAAGTTTGGGTTTGTGTACCCGTATAGGTGTGATGTATATGGCCAGCCATGGATGACCGAGCCAGTCGTGAATCTGTCCTTTAAACTTAAATGAAGCTTGTTCAGTTTTTGGTAGTCAATCTTTTCTTATTTCCCTGAATCGTTGACTTCGTTATGGTAAATTACTAAGGGCGGAAATTGACAGTCTTCTTTATTAGAGATTAAATTTAACGTTTTTTGTTAAGTTGGCTGGAACATCATGCATGTCTTGTATACCGCTAAACCTCAGAAAAGTTTAGACGGAACTGAATAGATCAGAACGCAGCTTACCAAAGTTGGTAAAACATTTCTCAAGTTGGCTAAGCCATATCACAAACACATCGCAATTCACTTCAACTTTTCTGCCACCTCCGTGATAATTAACCGCAGTTTGGCAGTTTGTCTCTGACCACTGCTGGATAATTCGTCAGACTAGCGAAGAGTTGTCAACCATAAAAAACTTTCGAACCGATGTCAGCTTTTTCGTGCCCAGAATAAAGTTCCGGAATAATAGCCTGACAGTCGCACTCCAACTGCAGTACAGTTCGGTTTAGGCTTCAGATCGTCTCATATACTTCTTCTGTTACGAGGCACTCGCAATATTCAATATCTTTCAGGAATTTACATTTTATTTTCGCCCAAAATTTTACTGGTTTACTTTATTCCTAACGTTTTTTATTGATTTTTAAAAACCTGGGGGCAATTTTTCAGATTCGATAAAATCATGCAATTATTAACGTCTGCTAATGTATTCTACAGCTGAACTCGATTATTTTCGGAAGAGCTAATAAAATTGTTCAAGTTCACTAATTAGAGTAAATGTCTGCAGAAAAGTTAAAAATTTTCCTCTAGATTCCAGAAAATTTTTTGATGCGAATATTCATACAATGAAATAATTTTTTACCCATCAGCATAACCTAATATAATACTGCATATAAATTAACACAGACCAATTGAGATGCAGCTAGACGTTCTGTGCAAGATCGCAGTATGTGTTACAACCACAATATTTAGTGATGTTATTCACGGACTCATCAGCCCAAAGTTATTTCGCCACGTCATCATGAACATCACCGCAGTGCAGGATGCAGGCTCGGTCGTTGAACAACACACCGGCATCGGTTCGATTATGTGCGCCGCCATCGCACGCATAAACTACACGACATTTTGCGCCGCGCACAACGGCGACTGCCTCATCGTCAACGAAACTTTTCCGGCGTACTATGACGATGGAACTCCGGATAATGGATACGACTGCCACACGAGTAAAGCGCCGCTTATTGACTATGGTGAGTTTTGTAGCACACGAAAAGCTAAAACTTATACAATGGCGAGAATTATGAGTAAGAAGTTCTATGTAGTCCGGACAATGGCAGCTACAGCCCAGCAATTTAGATGGAATTTGCCCCATGTATCTATGGAAGCGACAAAGTTTCTGGTGATCATAATGAACGATATTCATTGAGCTTCAGAACGTAAAAATATTCCCTAGGGACGGATTTTAATAAAAGAAGTAATTTGCTGGCAAACTCTTTTAAACAACAGTTCTTACATCCCAAAATAATGATGTATATTTTCCGCAAATAATTTTTTCGGTGACAGGCCTCTTCGCTATCAAAAATTTTTTCCCGTTGAAAAGAATTTTTTAAAGGAAAGTTCTAGCTTGTTTAGGGCGACATAATTTCAGGAAATTACAATGATTACATATAGTTCATATTCGGATGGTTTAAATCACGAAGGATTATAGAACTGCACTATACTTACAGATTAATTCATTTCTAGTAAAGACAAAAAGATCTAACACAAGAGTTTAATGCAAAGGCTCAAAAAACTTGATCAGTGAAGGCAACAGAATTTCATATGTATTCGTGATTTCGCTCTAAATCTCAGGCTTACTTAACATATGGTCATCGCTATAGCGGCGCCAGTTGTATTAAAGTTAATCGAATGTTCAGGGGTTTTTTCACTTCGGAAAAGCGGTGCAAGCAGCAGCTTATATATTGTAGAAGTTTTTCATGCTCAAGTTGTCAGAGGATAATATATTCGAATGTGGGTTAACGTCGCTACATTGACAATTATTTTTAGTTTTGTTAAATATTAATAAAGTTAAAGACCTATACACTGTTATTTAAGCGCAAGGAGGATACCTTTTTCGTTTCCTCAGCTACGACCACGGCTATCTTATTTCCTTGGAGATATTAGATTAAATAAGAATGTGTTTTTCCTTTATATATTAGACCAAATAAGAATGTTTTTCGTGAAACCAGCTTCATCAGAAAAATATATTATCATAGCTACCTCTAATTTAACACTCCACAAAGAAAACGAGTTTGTAAAAATATAGTGAGCTTTTTAATTGTACGCTTAGCGGCGGCCATACCGAACTGCGGTGCCAGGTTTCGCAGTCCTACCCCCGTTCTAACATTTAGGCAGCCATTGATATGTTATTTTAGTATATTATTCCATGTATTATATGTTGAGTTCGTAAAATATTTAGTTTGTTTTTCTTTCAGCGGCGGCGATGGCGAACTGCGGACCCGGGTTTTGCTGTCCGCTCCCCTTCGTAGAGTTCGGAAGCCTTGGGTGCGTATACCTCAACCCAGAGCGCCTGGTCTGGAAGGACGCTGTCAAGATGTGCAAAGAATTCTGGCCGACCTCGCATATCTACATGGGCAACACGAGCGCTGATATCCGAACTTTCATCCAGTCCAAAGGTAAGAAAAAGTGTTTAAAGTTGGCTTAATTTGTGGCAGAGATTGCACAAAAGCAACTTGCACTTATTTTTCAAAAGCCATGGTATATGTTTAATAAGTGGATAAGGGTATGTACTCACGAGGTGTTAAAATTCGAGCAGGGGTAGGTGGTGTTTGGATCGGAGCTCACTGGGTCAGCGCCAACAACAGGTGGGAGTTCCTGAACGGTGCCCGCGTGGTGGGCAACTGGGACTGGTTTGAGCCTGGCATCATGAACATTTGGATCGGGGGACCGCCGGGGCCGTGGGAGTGCGCCCTCCAAAGATCAGGTTCAGGCTGGTGTGATATGCCTTGCGGGGCTGAAGTGGAAAGCCTCTGCATAATTGAGCCATGATTTGAGAGAAATATTTTCTCTTGATGCCATGCTCCGATGAGAATATCGCCTCATGACTGCTTAATTGAGCCATGATTTGGCAGAAATGCAATGAAATGCAATTATTTCCTCTTGATGCCATGTTCCGATGAGAATATCACCAAAATGATCTTTCCCGAAGATTGTCTACATCTTCAGAATATTAAAACCTGGAACGTAAAAAATTTGAGTACGCACGTATATTTTAATACGCACGAATGCCATGGGTGCGACCGGTGCCAGCTTACAAAACCGGTACCTGTCGTCCGTGGCGCGGTATCGAAGGCGATGTCTTACGCGGAAAACTGCAGTCGTCCCAACAATGTCGGCCTGACCCATTGTTGGCACTATCAGTCAACGACCTAGTGCAACTCTACAACACCGAGATGATCTGTGCACTCAATGAATTTATTCCTGCACGCACAGTTTGGGCACCTCAACGTAGCTATTTCGTAGAGCCTATGAATCATGTGCTTGGTCATTTTTATCCGTTCTCATCCTTTCTCGTATCTATTTATTTTTGCTTGCTATTAAACTTATGTGTAACGTGCGCTCGTAGTCCGTTTAAACCAGACGCCGCGATAACTGCTTCGTGTAATAATAATAATAATAATAATATTTATAATAAAACATCTAGGAATTAGTTGTTGTCTCATATTCATTCTATCGTATATCACTCCAATTCTCTCCTTGGTTCAATGAGTGCACTGGAATCTTCGTGTAGAATTCTATGACGCCACAAGTTAGTTTTACAAAATATTGAACAAAAACTTATTAGAAAAACTTATATTATGTATAAACTTACTGTGTTCCCTCGAACGCAGTATATTAAGCCTCGCTTGCATATTAATTAAGCCGCTCTTATACCTTCATAATGAACTTAAACGCCAGTCAAATAATCTAATAGTTCGAATTAAATATTGATCATAAGAATACTCATTCATACAATAGAAGTATTGTGCTAATATATAAATATATTGAATAGCTACTTGACGTACGTGAGAATATCTTATCTAAAATATTCATCTCTTCAAATTAACTTCACTCACTCAGACTAGTATGGAAGATTGTATAATTGGAAGAATACGTGGCAATATGTGCACTCCAATTTAACTTATTTACGTGTTACATGTGCACTCCAATATTCCACTGAAGCAAATTAAATTACTATGATGCTTAAAATCCACTTGTATAGAATGTAATTGTATTTTACAATTTTTTTGTTGAAATAAAACATTTACGTGTCATTAGTTTCAATCAATGTCTCAGTAAAGTTGTAATTGAGGTAGTCGAGAAAGAGCAATGGGAATCTCCCATTCAAAGTTTATATTAAAATTGTGAACCGCGTCACTCAGTCCAATATAAAATATTGCACATTTCTTGCTTACTCTTCCCTATCAAAATAGCATTGTTCATTGACTGAAGGAGCTAATCTTCCTTCATATCATCCCAATTTAGTGATGGCTATACAACTGAACCGACGATTGAACTCCTGACCGAACTGGTCAACCCTGCATTGCTCGAGAACGAAAGCTTGTACTCGTATGTGCAATACTCCCCCCTCCCTCCATGGCGAGTTTAGGCTAGAGTGGTTGCCTCTATGGTGGGTTCATTCAGTATAAACTGTAACAAAATCTGTCCCAGGTTTACCAGCAGGTTAAACGTTGAACTAGTCATCCTTTTTGTTATTCTGGAACAATGAGATTTTAATGGTTAATCGAGGTTATATAGCAAGGTGTATATCGGTATGGATCGGTATAGAAAGTTAATCATATCGCATATAGTAACTTCATTTTTCCCAGAAACGAATCTATTCAGATATTTTTATTCAAATTCAATTAACTGTAGCAGAAAATATCACTTTCAGGCTTTCACATAATACAAAACATATATTTGACATAAATCATAATTTTTTACAATTTCAAAATGAATATGAGTACAAATACATAAACTTTATAAAATAAATAATATCCAAGAGTCATTCGGACGCGTGACGAAACCTGAACTAATTGCAGCTCAACGGATAATAAAGATGGCGTCACCACTATCTCTTGCCGTACATATTTATGGCATGAAAATATAATAAACGATGCTTGTGTGATTTACACACGGAGTAAAACCTTGACTGGAATATGAGTTTTTATACAAATTTCACTGACTTGGGATGGTTTAAGGATAAGTCACGCCGGCCTAACATAACAATATAAGGGACACAAGGCCACAAGGATGCGTCCTGGGGCCTATTTTGTTCGTTGCTTTTATAAATGATCTGCCAGAAGTAGTATCCAGCGTGTGCTCCATGTATGCCGACGACACAAAAGTTTATAATACAGTGAAGAATGCGTCAAATAAAGCGAAATTGCAAGATGATCTTGACAGCTTAGTTAACTGGGCTGATACGTGGCAGCTGCGGTTTAATGCTGACAAGTGTAAAGTACTACACCTCGGGAAATGGAAGTCTAGTAGCTTCTTCAAACTATCGCCAGTCATGAAAAGATCCGGTCAAATGACACGAGTTTAGATCTATGAACAAGGCACGAAATGGAAAAAAATCGGCGACAGGCCACATCAGGCCTACACTTCAGAGCCGACATCACTATGTTATGTTATGTTATGTTAATATAAAACTATGTCGCCCAGTGTCGCTTTTAAATTGCCTCATGTCATCACACGCATGAAGGTCAAGTTTATATTTCCTGCAGCAAGTGACTGCAGTGTGTAGTTTAACCTTGTAATTATGCTCTGGTAATTGCTGTTATTCAGCTGAATTCGCAACAATTCGCATCGCTAACTCATAATAATTCTAGCATTTAAACCAGGAACTATATTCTCTATTGCTTGCAAATTTTGGGCAAACTGCATGACATGGAAGTTGCTTCATGCGTGCAACTGATGCATGGAATTTTTGCAGCCAACAGAAGACGGAGCATTAGTTTCAGAGTTCAAAATGACCGAACTTTTGGAAATATGAAATATCAGGGCCAGTAATCCGACGTTTCATTACGCTGATGTGAGTTTCTGAACTTCAACTTGTAACGATCATAAATGAACACACAATATTTTTTACAAAAGCATAATTTATGTCTAACATAACATCAGAATATTTTGCGATGAATACGCTATACTTTCCATTTGAATTTTTTAATGCGGTCGTTGAATATAATACTAACTTTCGTTCAATTTATTCAGGTTATCCAGATATTAAATGTATAGTTCACATGTCTGACATTAACATTAAACCCGAATTGCATAATCATTTTTTCAGCTATATATTTAAAGATCCAGTGGGCAATTAAATAAGTCATTTTAAAAATATCCTTTAACATTTAACTCGCTTTTCAAGACAGTAGCATGCCACTGGCATGTCACTAGCATGTCACTAGCATGTCACTAGCATGTCACTAGCATGTCACTATCATGTCACTATCATGTCACTATCATGTCACTAGCATGTCACTAGCATGTCACTAGCATGTCAGTGATGTCACTAGCATGCCACTAGCATGTCACTAGCATGTCACTAGCATGTCACGAGCATGTCACTAGCATGTCACTAGCATGTCACGAGCATGTCACTAGCATGTCACTAGCATGTCACTAGCATGTCACTAGCATGTCACTAGCATGTCAGTGATGTCACTAGCATGTCACTAGCATGTCACTAGCATGTCACTAGCATGTCACGAGCATGTCACTAGCATGTCACGAGCATGTCACTAGCATGTCACTAGCATGTCACGAGCATGTCACTAGCATGTCACTAGCATGTCATTAGCATGTCACTAGCATGTCACCATCACTAATTAGGGACTTGCTGGAATTATTCATCGTTCCAAACAATCCCAACACCAATTGTACACGAAGGGTACTAGGGTAACTAGGGGGGTAATCTTACAAATGCCTATGCACTTTTTTGCCATTGTGTTATGCTCATCTTGACCCAGTTTTGACCAACAAAACCACGTATCAGTGCCATGCCACTCTCTGCTCATGCGGTGAGTATAAAGTCTGTCACTATTCGTACAATGACCCATTCATCAATCTGAGTGTCATGCCTAAGCTCGGCAGAAAATGTGAGCAGAACAAGTTGGAACAGAACGCCACTTGCGTGGTTTGAGTGGCAAAGTTTAGGGTCGATGATTGACCCACGATGATTGGCCGAAAAGTTTTGTAATGGAAGCCACAAAAATCGTAGTCGACAGGGAAGCGGCTATGAACGGTAATTTAGTCATGTTATCCTACACAAAACAATATCTCTCATTTCTGTAACATAGGCAAGTAAATATGACTCTTGGACGCATGTCTTGTGATGATATCATTCAGATCAGATATAATTTAAATGATATTTTCGAATTATATCATTCAGGTATCATTCGAATAATATTTTAAACTTATCATTTAATTAATCATGTAAATTTATCATAAAAAAATTCGACTGTTACATCAATTATTATATATAACATAATATATGAGGTTTTATTATGTTTCACAAGGAAAATTACCGTACGCTTTAAAGATATTAGACTCTGAAAAGCACGGGCTCTCCTTATTTGTTAAATCCAGACTGTAAAATAAACGCTTCAGAACAAATAATAATTATATAAAAAGAAAACGCTGCTTAATTAGGCTTTTGACTGCTATTATACAAGTTTTTTTATCTTTAACAAATAAAAGAAATTAAATTTTATACTATATAGCACGAATAATAAAATATAATTATCGTAAAACTTAAAATCTTGATTAAAACAAAAGAGGAAAGAACATTAATATTCGGCTCAAAGAAATTCTTGCCTGACCATGCACAGCTTCCTCCTAAGACAAAATTAAAAACTTTTCACTCAAAAATTTTTGAGGTTCAATCATGAATAGCATAAGCCTATTAATTGTGGACACAATCTAATAAATGTAGAAAAATCTCAACCAACAATGTATACTTCCAATATACAGTTCGTACATGACAACCAACAATGTATACTTCCAATATAAAGTTCGTACATGACAACCAACAATGTATATTTCCAATATACAGTTCGTACATGACAACCAACAATGTATATTTCCAATATAAAGTTCGTACATGACAACCAACAATGTATACTTCCAATATACAGTTCGTACATGACAACCAACAATGTATACTTCCAATATACAGTTCGTACATGACAACCAACAATGTATATTCTTCCAATGTACAGTTGAACATGAAACAATTTTCTGGAAATTTTATAAATGACATCACAAATTACCTCGCTTTCGAAAACAAATGTCCAAAACATATCTTCTTCGACAAGTTAATACGATCTTACGATGCAGATCTCACTCAAATAATAACAGAAAAATCAGGCATCAAATGTTTAATATTGAAACGCGTTAAAAAATTCATCAGGACATTAAGACAAACGAATTTTGCACCGCTTAAAGTAAAAGTCTCCAGAACCAATTTTAAAAACTTGCATGCGTCATAAACAACTTGTGCATTTGGCCTTGAAGCTCGA